GACCCCTATCCACACCCCCACCCCCTGACAGGCCCCCCGGGACTCCCAAGCCTATCCAACTGCCCCCTGCTCCCTGTCCCCTGACAGCCCCCAGGACCCCCTGCCCCTTATCCAAACCCCCCGCTCCCCACCCCCTTACCATGCTGCTCAGAGCGGCGGGACTGGCTTATTAGAAAGCCTGGGAGGTGCGCGGGGGCAAGCCATGCTGCCCAGCAGGAGCGGTAAGCCAGAGCGCTCCCCACACGGCAGCATGGCTGCAGGGGTGGGGGGGACAGAAGGGGAAGGGCTGGGGGCTAGTCTCCCCGGCCAGGAGCTCAGGGGCCAGGCAGGACGGGCCCGCAGGCTGTAGGTTGCCCACCTCTGGCTTAGGACCTGATTTTGCAAGCTGATAAATACAGCCATCCCCTTGCTGGGCATAGGGGCACAATAGGCAGGCACAAGGGGTCACCTGTGTGGATCAGCTTGCAGATCTCTTAAAGGACATGGACAGACCAGAGCCGAGGGGCAGGTTTTTTGCATTATTCAGGGGAACTGAAAAGAACAGGCCAACATCAGGCCACCCAACGAGCAGGTGGCAAGGAGGATTCCAATACAGAGCACGAGGCCTCGAACAAGCATGTTCACAGGACACCTGCAAAGTGCGAAGAAACCTCAGACTCGGTCACAAGTTCTCCTAGGAAGCTAAAACCAAGCGGTGCAGATGCCTGGAGCCGGAGCCAGACCCAGTGTCAGACCGGCTGGCGCAGCCCCTCGTTTGCCCAGCGTTTACGTCTCCCTGCAGGCCCCGAGCCTGTGGGTTAGGGCCATGCCACTGAGCTGGCCAGCACACACCAGGCGACAGGGCTGCCTGCTCCCGGGCTCCGACCAGGCATGTGTCCCAGGGTGCCAAGGCAGGGTCGCCTCCTCCCCCAGGAGGGGCGGGGCAGGCTCTCACCAGCGGTTGTACAGCGCAGGGCACAGCGGGGGCCTCACCTCAGAAACCCCTCCCCCCACGCGGGAGGAGCAACTGAGACAGGCCCCACTTGCGCAGGACAAACGCTGGGTGAGTGCGCGCCCCAGTAGCCAGTGCGCACGCGCTCTGGGCCTCTCGCCAATGACCGTTACTCCCCGCGCCCCCAGCGCGCACCCTGGGCATAGCCCCTCCCCCCGCCGAGGCGCGCTCCCGCCCCGCGCAGGCGCGCTCCTGCCCCGTGCTCACTTGTGGAAGGAGATAGGTTTCTCTTTGTCGTATCGGTTCCGGCAGCGGTAGGCGGAGCAGGACTGCACCATTCTCCCCCGCCGGCAGCCGCCTGCTCCGCTCCGGCACCCACACAAGAGGGGCGCAAGGACCCAGCTAACTCAGTCACTGCCCGGCCCCCATCCCCTTTTCTATTAGCCCCTAGGAGCAGAAAAGGGACACGGCCTCTCCCGACTTCAAGATGGCGCTGCCAGCTTCAGCTCAACTGTCGCGATAACAGCGCATCGCTCTCCTCTATTGGCCGTTCCCCTACGCGTGGGTGGAGTCTTTCTGATCAGCCCACCAATAGGCGCAGAGGCTCCGAGCGCGGCGCGGGCCCCAATCGCCCCGCCCCCTCGCTGTCCTCTGCTCCTGCTCCGCCCCCTTTGCTCCCGTAGCTGGACAGGAGCCTGGCAGTACCTCACTGCACTTGTTCCAGCTTGAGGCCACCCCCCAGGCCGCTTCATTTGCTGGGTTCCACTCTGCTGCCTCGGGCCAGCAATTCTGTCCCCTGTAGCTACTAGGGGCTGCTCTCCTGGGTGAGGTGGGAAACAGCAGGCAGGCCGGGGCTGCGTCCTACTCCTAGCTTCTCCTGCGCCTGCTGTTTTTCGGGACAGAACAGGGAGCTGCAGCAGCATAGGCCACGGCGGGAGAGGAGACCAGTGTTCCTGGAAGTGTAACTAAGGCTGTGTCTACACTGTAGGCTGGCCAGATAGCAAGCGTGAAAAATCAGGACAGGGGATGGAAGGTAATAGGAACCCATATTTTAAAAAAAGCCCCAAATATCAGGACTGTCCCTGTAAAATCAGGACAACTGGTCACCCTACTCACTGCCATTTTCAGTGCTAAAACTTTAGTCATTAAGGGGTGTGAAAAAACATCCCAACTGAGCGACAAAAGTTTTAGTGCTGAAAAGCGCTGTATAGACAGCCGTTTATCGCCAGGAGCCACGCTGGTGTAGTCATACCCTAAGCCATGTGGATGGGGAGAAGCTGAACTGGCCAGCATCCTATAAAGGCCCTGGGGGAAAAGGAGCTTGGTTTGGAGGTGCAGGGACAGAAGCACTGAAATGTGCCAGGAAGCCTGAGTAGATGAAATGTATGAGGAGCAGGGACAGAGGAATTCCGGGGGGGGGGGGGAAGCGGGGGAACGACTGGTGGATAATAGGGGCACAGGGAGAATTGCTATATTAACGGATCGGTCACTAAGACCTGAGGTTCATTCATTCAGCAAGCTGAAGATGGCACGCACTGAGTGGCTCAAAAGGAGCTATCATCAGCTTGGTCAGTGCCACATTAATACCCCAACCCAAGGAATTTTAAGTAGAGATTTTAAAAAATTGTTAATGCCCCCCATCCTTTTAACCAATGACACAGTTCTCTTACAGCTCAAAAATACAATGCATAATTTCCTCCCTACAACCCTGAACACATTTAGCATTTTCTACTATTTTGTTGTACCCTGAGTATAGTAGATAAAGAATTAATGAGTCAGTTGTATACAACTGACTGAGGCAAGGTATTCTGCAAAACCCTAGCCCAGAGGTTCTCAAACTGTAGTCCGCGGACCACCAATGATCCACTAGCTCCACTCAGGGGGTCCGCAGATAGTTCCCTCTAAGGCAGTGGTTTTCAAACTTTTTTTCTGGTGTCTCAGTTGAAGAAAATTGGTGATGTCCGTGACCCAACAGAGCTGGGGATGAGGGGTTTGGGAGGGCCTCAGGGCTAGGGCAGAGGTTGGGGTGCAGGGGTGAGGACTACAGGGTGGAGCCAGGAATGAGGGGTTCAGGGTGTGGGAGGGGACTCTGTGCTGGGGCAGGGGGTTGGGAGAGAGTCTGGGCTGAGGGTGCAAGCTCTGGGGTGGGTCCAGGAATGAGGGGTTCAGGATGTGAAAGGGGGGCTCTGGGCTGGGGCAGGAGGATGGAGTGTCGGAGGGGGTCAGGGCTCTGGGCTGGGGCTGCAGGCTCTGGGGTGAGGCTGGGGATGAGGGGTTTGGTGTACAGGAAGGGGCTCTGAGTTTGGGGGGCTCAGGGCTGGGGCGGGAGATTGGGTTAGGGCATGGGCTTACCTCAGGCAGCTCCCAGTCAGCAGTGCAGCAGGGGTGCTAAGGCAGGCTTCCTGCCTGTCCTGGCCCCACGAACTGCGCTGCACCCTGGAAGCAGCCAGCAACAGGACCGGCTCCTAGGCAGAGGCGCACAAGCGACTCTACGCAGCGCTCGGCCACAGGCACTGCCCCCACAGCTCCCATTGGCTGGCAACCAGCCAATGGAAGTGCGGAACCAGTGCTCAGGGCAGGGGCAGTGCGTGGAGCCCCGTAGCCCCCCCACTTAGGAGCCAGACCTGCAGCTGGCCGATCCTGGGGCACAGCGCGGTGTCACAAAAGGTAGGGACTAGGCTGCCTTAACTGGACAGCACCGCCGACAGGACTTTTAATGGCCTGGTTGGTGATGCTGATCAGAGCCACCGAGACCCAGTGCCTTACGTTCCATGACCCAGTACTGTGTCACAACCCGCAGTTTGAAAATTACTGCTCTAAGGTGCGTGCTTGGGCGGCTGCACATGAGAGAATGAAGGGCCACCCACCTAATTGGGGAGCCACACAGGGAGAAGAAGGGGTTGGGAGAATTTAGGATGTGCAGGACTGCGGTGGCCAGAGAAAGAGGCGACTTTCCCCAGTTCCAGGCCTGTAGCTACCGGGGAGAGATGGCCCTCCTTCCCAGCCCCAGCTCAGGAGCTGCCTGGGTGGGGATGAGAGGGAGACACCTCCCTCCTTCCCAGCCCCAGTTCGGGGACTGTCGGGGCAGGGGAGAGAGGGCACATCCATCGCATTAGAAAGGTAAGACTACTGATACTAAAAATATGAAGTGTGTGCTTTTATTTGTAGAACAAAAAACATGAATTTTTTTAAATATAATGCTTTTATCCAAAGCACTTTACAAGAGTTAGCTAAGGGTACAAACATTTGGAAAGGTCATTAAGTGGCCTGCTGAGACTTCAGCAATTTTTAAGTGGTCCGTGAAAATAAAAGTTTGATAACCACTCCCCAGCCTACACATCTTACTACACACCTTAGACAGTATACTAGGGGAAGGCAGCTGCACAGCATTGCCTCATTCACTGCACACTTTCCAAGATGCCCTTGAGAAGGGCATTAGAAAACGGTAAGGATGTTCTGCTGTGTTACCGGAGACACAATACATCAGGTAATTAAAGAGGGTGTCAGAAGGCAGGGTAATGAGGCACAGTTAGGGCTGCAGGTGGAATTTTCAAATGGTACTTCCTGATTTTTTAGTGCTTAATTATGCAACCTGCGCATTCCCTTAGCATACTTTCTGCGTAGTAGTCTGCAAAGAGAAAGTCAGATTATGGGATGATGTTTTCATCCACTGTGGTCCTCCCACATAAACGCTGCAGGGTTTACAATCCCCTCCACTGCGTTATTGGGTCAGTGCCTCTCCCTAGCATTCGAGAGGGATGCAAACAGGTCAGGCTAAAGACGAGTTTGGGAAGCTGTGAGTTACAGTCAGCGGAATAACGCGAGGAGCAGAACAAGCCCCTGCTCCTCTGTGCCATGAAGGCGATGAAGAGCGATCATTTATAAATGAACCCCCTCCCCATACACACACACCCGCCCACAGCTCTCACCCGGGGGGGCGCTCTGCCAAAGCCCCTTTTCCCAGCTGGCAGAGCTGTTCAGCCCGCAGCAAGGGAGCGTGGGCGGGTGTGTGGGCAGCTGCCAGCGCGGAGCTGTGTGCGCTCCCATGCCCAGGCGGGAGGGAGAGAGCCGCGGCCGCTGGAGGGGCGGAGAGAGCGGGCGCGAAGGCGGCGCTGCTGCTGGGAGGGGGTTTGACATCAGTTCCCCTGTAGGAGTTTCAGTAAATGCCACAAGCCGAAGGCGCGGAGCCCTGGGCGGCGGCTGAGGCTGCAGCTGCCCCCGGGGGAGCCGACCCGCCTGCCAGAGGTGAGCCCGGCCCCCGCCTCCCCCATCGCGGACACCGCGCGGAGCAGAGCCTGGGCGGCCCGGGCGCAGGCAGCCCACCTCCCTGCCGTGCATGCGGCTCTGGATCTCCTTCCCCTGGGTGCCGGGCTGAGGCGGGCGGGGGCCCCCCGACATCCCAGGCGAGCGACCAGTCCCCGCAGCCCCCGCGGGGGGTCCCCTTGCTCCCGCTCCGGCCGGAGGCGGGGCGGGCCCCCTGGCCGGCCGGGCGGGCAGCATGAGCGGCGGCCGGGCGGCGGTGAAGATGGAGGCCCCGTTCTACCCCGAGGAGGGGCTGGAGCTGCTGCCCGACTTCGTGCCCGGCTTCGGCAACGGGCTCGGGGCAGGGGCGGAGACGGCGGGGCACAAGCTGCTGCTCGGGGCCGGTAAGAAGCGGGAGATGGCGGCGGCCGCCTCCCCCTCGGCGCTGCCGGGGTCGTACACCCTGCGGCCGCCCGGCGGCACCCGGAGCGGCGCGGCGCTTAGGCTCATCCCCGCCGCGGCGCCCCCGGGCTCGGCAGCGGGGGGAGGAGCCGGCGGCAGGGGCGGCCCGGAGGCGGCTCTGTTGGCGGCCGGGTCCCCTGCGGAGCTGCCGCTGCTGAAGCTGCCGCCCGCCGCGGACCTGGAGCGGCTGCTGATCCAAGGCAGCCCGGGCCTGGGCCCCGCCAGCCCCTGCCCCGCCGCCGCCCCCCGCCCCCCGCGGCCGGGCCCTTCCTCTACCGCCAGCAGGTGACGCAGGAGCAGGAGGGATTCGCCGACGGCTTCGTCAAGGCCCTGGCCGACCTGCACAAGCAGAACCAGCTGCTCGGGGCGCCGCTCTCCCCGGGGCCCTGCCGGCCCGCCGCCGACCCGCCCGCCGTCTACACCACCCTCGGCAGCTTCCACCCGGCCGGGCCGCTCAGCCCCGCGGGCGGCACCTACTCCGCCGCCCCGCCGGGCCTGCCCTTCTCCTCCCCCGCCCCGCCGGGGCTGGGCAGCGGCCGGCTCCCCGCTCCCGGCGCCGCCAGGGCCCTGGAGGAGCCGCAGACTGTGCCCGAGGCGCCCCCGCCGGGCGAGGCCGGCAGCAGCGCCCCGACGCCGCCCTCGCTGTCGCCGCTGGACGCGGAGAGCCAGGAGCGGCTGAAGGCCGAGCGGAAGCGGCTGCGGAACCGCATCGCGGCCTCCAAGTGCCGGCGGCGGAAGCTGGAGCGGATCGCGCGGCTGGAGGAGAAGGTGAAGGCGCTGAAGGGGCAGAACGCCGAGCTGGCCGCCACCGCCAGCCTCCTGCGGGCCCAGGTCACCCAGCTGCAGGGCCGCGTCCGCAGCCACCTCTCCAGCGGCTGCCACATCAGCGCCGCGGGCCCGCCCGCCCCGCCGCCCCCGGAGGAGCCCGCCGCGCCGGAGACCAGCGCCTGCTGAAGCCGCGGGCCGGAGTGGGACAGAGACTGAGCAGCCTGCCCGGGAGAAGGGGGCGACCCCCAGCCCCGCGCCTCAGACTGGACCCGGGACGGGAGCGGCCCCGAAAACACGTGCGAGTCTCGCTTCCTCGTCGTCCCCCGCCCCGGCGCTTTGCACGGCGGCTCGCAGACTGGGCTCGCCTGCCGGGGAGGAGCCAAAGGCCCCCGGCCCCAACGCGCTGCCGCAGCGGAGAAGGAAAGATCTTCGACTTTCCAGAGTCGTCTTAAAATATTCCGGAGTCGGTTTGGGGATTTGATTGGGGCGGGGAAGCACTAGAGCGTTGCAGGGAAAACATAGGGGTTCAAAGGTTCGAGATTTATTGACCAATAGATAATTTTAAGTACCTAGATTGAAGGTCCCTCTTTATTTATTGATGCCTGGAAAGGAAGCAAAGTACAGAAGTCGGGTATTAAACATCTTGTAAGGTATATTTTATGTTGCACTGAGTACAAAACGGTTTTATATTGGGTATTTAACGTTTAAAGCTGACTTCAAGAGAAATTCCTACACTTCAAAGTGAAGGGTGTTTGGGGGTTGTTTTTTTCAAAGTTCAAGTGAAGAACTTCTAAAGATTTCAGAACTAAAATAAGCCGTTTACAGAGAGTCAACTTTATTTTCCTGCAAAAGGCATAATTCCTAATACACCTTAATATAGTGTGTAGTGATGGTTCAATATGTTTGTTCAGAGCTTGAAAAAAGCTAAAATTACCCATTTCTTTTTTTAAAGCGTGTGTGTATAGAAAACAAAATGTGGTGATGGTATTTCTTGGTATTGAGAAGAATTTTTTTAAAAAGATTGTTTTGCTGCAGAGTAGCTTTTAATTTGCAGCTGGCAGTGAAGAGATGCAAGTAAAGCACTTGAATGGGTCTGCTTTTAAAATCTAGCCTTAGCTGAGAGAGATTCTGCTAGGTAACTTAGGTTAGAATGAACGATATTTAATTACAGATTCAACTGTAAGAAAGTACTCTTACAGACCATAAGCTCCATATTATTTCTTGTGCTAATGCAAACTTGGAGCATTGATATATATATATTTATTTATTTATTGAAACTTGAAACTTTTTTGATGTCACCTAAACCTTATTTTTATAGCAAACGCATCTGGAAGAAATTAATTTGGCAGAAGAGTGTCATTTATGCCATTTCTTTCACTGTGCACATTCCAGTTCTGCTTGCTCTTTATGGGGTATAGTAGCAATTCAGTGCTACCCAGAAAAGGGCTCAGATTGTTTTTTAGCTCTAACAGTTACTTTATGGTAACTCCATTGTATTATGTTTGAATAAATCATAGAAACACAATGGAGAACTAGATTTATTTTTTCAGAAGAAATATGTAAATAATATTTTCTTGTTCTATTTTATCCTAAACACATTTTTCTAGTTGTCTAGGGAGGGGAAGAGTCAAAAGTCAGAATGTGAGATGAGTTTCTGGGTGGAAGAGTCCAGTGTGATTTATTTATTTTTGCCTAGATTTTACTAATAAGGGATAGAAAAGGAATGGTTTTCTCTGCTTAGACTTGCTTTTTGGGATTCTCTGGATAAATAGCAAAAACCATGTTATGGGCAGTTTTGCTTTTTTACTACCCTTTGATATGCATGTTTTGAGAGCTTCTGCAAATCAAGGTTTATTCAGTCTTGTGGTTTCGTACAATTAAATTTTCATTTTCAGCATGAACTCTGAAGGTTCATTCAACAAGAAACCCTGTAAGGCCCTGATCCTGGATCTGCCCATACTTAGAACCACTGAAGTCAGTGGGGCTCAGCATGAGCAGACCCAGTTGCAGGATGGGGCCCCACCATAGTCTTTGGAAAATATCTTAACTAATATAGTTTGTTTTATAAGCATGATCAATTAAACCAATTCCATAACCATTTTATCTCATCCATGTCCTCTTCTGAAAGCTACTTCAGCTATGCTTTGAAATGCACGAAGGGGAACTGATATGCATAGAATGTTTTTTGCTTGTAAAGAGAGTCTTGTGAGAGGGTTGACTTAAAATAGCATAGCTGTAAATGTAAACTGTGCGTGAGGCTTCCCCTTGTCAGGCCTGGGACACACACTTAGCACAGATGACTTCAATGAGTAGTGGAGATGCAAACCACGTTAATCATTTAAAAACTGAGTAAAGTTGTAGCATAGCCAGAGCCAGAATGAGTGATTTCAGTGATAGTCTAAAACTCCCTTCTTCTGTCCTAAGAATTGTGTATTAGAAATACTAGCGAACAAACGCAATGCCGCTTAATTCTTACGAAGTAACTACAACGTAAAGATCTTTTGCTAAGCGTTCAGTCAGTTTCACCACACTAATAGAATTCAACCAGTAGTAATGTGCCATGTCTGGCAAATGTGTTAAAAATGAACCAGTGCTTAGTACATGAAAAACTGCATGTCTTTGCAAAGGTGATGGTGCAGAAGTAGAGAATCGATTAATTTTTTACACTTAAACACAAGCTTTACATAATGAGGGAAGGAGGGAACTCTACTTGGTAAGCAAACTTGCACTGAGTGCTCTGCACTGGCAGTGTTTCTACTTCATTAATGGAAAATATACTAAGTATTTTGATGATACGGCACAGTGGTCAACTTGTGTAGTTTCAAATGAAAGTGGGGGAGGTGGGTGAAGACCTTCTAGCAGTACCTGAGGAAAAGGTTGAAAAACACCTGACACTTGCTGCAATCTAGTCCATTTTGTAGGTGCTCTTTGCTCCTCAGAAGTATTTAAAGATATAGCTTTAAAGGCACTGCATATCATTTCCGATAGGGTTAGTTCACCAATATCTAGAGAAGGGGATGAGCTCCACGAAGAGAAATCACCACAACCTTGCTTCCAAAATGGTGGCAGAATTATGATATGGGGCCAATGAGGAGCCCCTCCAGCATAGCACTAGTAGGGCTACGAAACATCACTTGGTTTCTTTCTCCAGTGATACTTCCGCAATTTGTGGAGCTACATGGCATGTTATTCTCACCAAAGTCTTATCCAACCTCATCTTGAATGCCTGCAGTGTTGGTTTTATGACTACCTCCTTAAGTCTGTTCTTCTACCACTCTTTTTAGCTTGTAATATTAAGCCTAAGCTTTCTTTACTTCAGTCCATTGTTGCTTGTTGGACTATCTTTTAAAATATTGTAATACCCTGTTTATTTCCCCAGGTGTTCTTTTTAGATTATATATAGCTCCCTCAGTCTTTCATGTCGTCTGATCCTTGTATCATTTTTGTTGCTTTTTGTATTTCTCCTAGTTTTTCTTCATTGTTCCTAAATTTTCAGAACCAATAAAGTGCACCGTGCACCAAGTACAGTCTCATTAGGCCATTTTAGACCCTGATATCTGGTAAAATTTTCAAAACCACTTAAGTGACTTGGGTGCTCACATCCTGTTTTCAGAAGTGACAGGCACTTAAAAGCCTAATTCTCATTAAAAGTCGGCTGACTTTAAATGAGACTTCAGGACTATGAAAATTTTACCTATCCTCCTAGACTTAATCTGATCTCTTCACACGCATTCCTGATACTGACTGTTCAAGCAAAAGATTCTCATATCTGCAATTTATCATCACTACCAGTCAGTCTTGCATTATTTTCTAGACAGTTCCAATCTCTCTTGGTCACTCTGCTTGTGTGTTACTATTTTGTGTTTCTCATCAGTAAATTTGATTGCAGTTTAGTTGACACCTTCCTTAAGATCTAGAGTATAAAAATATTACTCTGCACTAAAAAGCATTGGTCCATGGTATTTAATTGGTACTTATGTTTGGCATGTCTTTGTGTCTAGGTGCTACAGAAAGGTGGTGGTGGGTGAGTACTTGTGGCTAGGAATTCCTGTTCACTCCTACTTTCCTCGGGCAGGGGGTGGGAGCTATTGGCAACTGATTACTGCCCACGCTGACTTGGAGTATGGAAAACATATTCTACTGCTTGTAATTTGTGGTTCCATTCCTAGAAGAGCTGTTTAATTCACTCCTCACTCAGAATGTGTAGTAACATCGTCCAGTTTCATCAGCTGGCCTGACCCATCGGCGTGGTTGTTACAGATTCCCGTAATGGGTTTTTCCCCTCCACTTCTGGGTATAAACTGCGTCAAGCTCAGATGTGGAATCCAAACTCCATTGATATTCTAATAAATGTGTTTTGTTCTAGTTCTGTTTCCCCTGTTCTTTAGTTAAAGGAAAAGAGTGAAAAGACTAACTGAATTGTGATGTTGGTAAATAAGTAGATGGCATTCTTCTCTCTTAGTTCAGTACTGAGCTAATGTCACAGTGCATTGCTGGGATTAGCTGTTCTGTTGGAGGTCCTATCTGCCAGAAGAGGCATAAAGACAATGTCCTGAGTAGCACTTAAAATTTAGGTGGCATAGATCTGATGCTCATAGTTTGGCCAACCAAACCTCTGGTGTAGACGTAACTAGGCTAATGGAAGAATACTTCTGTCAGCCTAGCTTCTGTCACTCAGGGAGGTAGAGTTCTGACCTCGAGCATCAAGAAAAACCCCTTTCAGTGCTCTAGGCTCCATCTACACTATGGAGTTATGCCAGTATATGTTCAGGGCCGTCGCTATGCTGCACTGTAGTCCTTTTTGCATAGATATGGCACTAAAGATCCCATGGCACTTTCCCAAGAGTATGGGGTGTCCTGTCAAAACACAGGTGTTGAATTACAACTTGAGCAATTACATTCTGCATACCTAAAATTCCTGCTCCATTTTCAGTGATGCAGGCTATTCTGACATATACCAACACTGACTAGAGAAGAGCAGTGCTGCAGCAGCTGTCATTTCACCTCAGCGGTGGCTGCATTTCAGTGTTTGGGTGGAGAAGTCTCTAAATATCACTTATACCTTCAATTACATATCTGTCTCATCGTAAAATGTTGTTTGAATAAGTCCCAATATTAAACCCTGAATTATCCCACAGGATGTGATTGTTAGCATAGCAATCTTGATATGAACTGCTACTTCTCTTATTTGGCAACCAATTTCTAATCCATGGTATGGGATTTTTAACTAATGGTATTTATTCAGTTTTCCTATAAGATTATTCTGGGCATTGATAGTCAAATATACACTAAATCTCCTTTATGTCCTAATCATTAGTCCCACTGCAGATGGTAGTTGGATTGCCATGATGTAACTAAACTTTATATACTGATTCCTGTCTGAATGTATTCCTTGTATAGATGCCTGCCTAATAAGCCAACAGTTTCTTAGGGTTTTTCCTTCTTATTCTTAAAGTTATTTTCAGAGTTCCTGAAACTTCCTCTGCTGTTTCTTCAGTGCATTTTGTCAGGGCCTCCAGACTTACTTTTTTCACCATCAATTTATATATATAAAAATAATGATCACCAAAAATAATTATATAATTATTTTTGGTGATACTTTTTTCATCATCTTTGTTTACACCTCCAACTACTGTCTCTAGCAATTTCACTGTTTCTTTCACAGGGTTTTCTGATTTCCTTCCGCTTATCTCTTTTTCATTGAAGCTAAGTATACATTTGACAAATACTCGATTTGTGCAGCAACATTGCCATTTTCTAAGTATTTTTATTTGGTTAAATAGTAATGTGACCAAGAACAAAATCATCTGCCTGTTAATCTGATCACCAAGGAGGAGAGTATGTATGTCATCAACGTTGAGCACAGTGGCTTGATAGGCTATTCAGATATACAGAATCTGGCAGGCAGCCTCCCTTTTAAAAACATGTAGGAAGATGAGCAAGGGAAAGTGAAGTCTTGATTGGGCAGTGTGTGTGTGAAGAGAATCCTGCAAATGCTGACTGCAAAGTCCCTGTCTCTTGCTGCAATTCAACCTTGGGTGCAGTAAGTCCTAACTCTGTGGTACTTAATTACATGACAGCTACTCCTGTGATTCACTGAAGAAACTTCTCGAGTTGAATTACATCTTCTCAAAAAGAAAAGGAGGACTTGTGGCACATTAGAGACGAACCAATTTATTTGAGCATAAGCTTTCGTGAGCTACAGCTCACTTCATCGGATGCATACTGTGGAAAGTACAGAAGATGTTTTTATACACACAAACCATGAAAAAATGGGTGTTTACCACTACAAAAGGTTTTCTCTCCCCCCACCCCACTCTCCTGTTGGTAATAGCTTATCTAAAGTGAGCACTCTCCTTACAATGTGTATGATAATCAAGTTGGGCCACTTCCAGCACAAATCCAGGTTTTTACTCTGAAATCTTCTCAAAACTAGAGTATTTAGCAAACTTGGTTCCAGTTGCCTCTTTGAAGGTTGTCAACGAAATCAGAGTTTATGGAGAGTCTCAATGCTCTGGGTGAGAAATTTTGCAGTTAATATGGAAACCATATTCTATTGTGGAGGACAAAGTGTGTTAAACTGCTAAGCAATCTTGTGCCACTCAATTGTTTTCTATCATGCCATGCATCCCTGTTGTGAAGTGACTTGCAACCTGTTCATGCTGTTAGACTTATCAGACATAAAGAAGAGAGAGATGTTGGCTCAGAGCAGGAACATAATTTACTTTTGCACTGTGGGATCTTCGATGGCAAGTGCTGCTAATACAGGTTTCAGAAAACAGGAGGAAAAAAGAGTGCGAAAGATCATGTGTAGTGTGTACTAATGGGACAAACATCCAAATAGCTTTAACTGAAATTTTACAGTTTGAACTGTCTTCCAAAACAACTTTGCATTGGCCTTGTTTAGCCACTTGTCCCTGTTTGACATTATGGCTACTGGCTAGACGCTCTTTCTAAACTTCTTCTGAAGTTCATTGCATGCAGAAAACAGGCCTAAGATGGAACTCCACTTATATGTTGAAACAACTCATACAAACAGGGTGTATACGTCCAGGAATTAAAATCCACATCCCCAGTGGCTTTACAGTGGAATATTGTTAATGAGAATTGGTGCATTGGAACCCTGGAAGCAACCCAAGCTGGCATCTGTTTTTTGGTACTAGCTATGTCCTTTGAAAATGGACCTATGCTTAAGTCAGTGATTCTCAACTGGTGTACACAGAGGTCTTCCAGGGTGTACATAACTCATCTAGATCAGTCTCTCAACCTGAGGGTTGTGAGACAGATTTAGAATGGTCACAAGTGCAGGGCTTGCATTAGGGGGTGACAAGCAAGGTCAATGCCCGTGCCCCAGGGGGCCCTGCAAAGCTAAAATATATGCTTAACCCCCGGGCAGCGAGGCTTAGGCTTCAGACAAAGCTTGCAAGTGAAAAACAGGCTCAAGTATCACACTATGATGTAAATACAATATTTATATTCCAATCAATTTTATTATATGGTAAAAATGAGAGTCAGCAATTTTTCAGTAACAGTGTGCTGTGACACTTCTGTAGTTTTATGTCTGATTTTGTAAGCAAGTAGTTTTTAAGTGAGGTGAAACTTGAGGGGGACACGACAAATCAGACTCTTGAAAGGGGTACAGTAATCTGGAAAGGTTGAGAACCACTACACTAAGTTTTTGACAATGGCATAAATACTGTGAATGCAGAAATTTTGTCTCCTTGTGGTTCCAGCCGTAACTAATTCTAAAGTCAGGCCGTTTCTTGTGCCAGATATGTGCATTTAAGTATTTTCCTTTCAGCTCAGATATGATTTATCAATGCTAGAGTAGCCAACAAATCTGATTAAAGCATGCAAATATCTATGAATTCAAAGCAAGAAATAAATACTTCCCTTTATCTAATCTACCCATCCAGGTATACAAAATTAAAGGAACTGCAGTTTCCTCAACTGTAATGAATGTGACGGTGAAGTATGCAATAGCACCGTACTTTCCATATTCCAGCAATCAAATAGTAGGGTGGAAGCCCTGCATAATTACACTAAATCTTGCGACTGCAAGGCCGCTTTTAGAAGTTCTGCCAAACAGCATTTCTACCAAGAGGCAGTTCAGAACTGATGATGCAGAGAATATGGTTATTTTATAATACCATTTATCACTGATACATTTTAAGCATTACAGGTCATGGCTGTATGTACTGCAAACTGAATGGATGGTCACCATAAATAATAACTGCTCTGAATTAGCATTGTGGAAAGAGGAGGTTCCCTACTGGGGAACACAGTACTCCTGTCTGACCTGTGAAAGCCAGAGAGATTGAACCTTAAGATTGTGACTTTTAGGTACAAAGTCGATTTCATGGCTGTTACTGAGCTCTGTAGAGTTAGTCTAAGGAGCCTGGCTTTACAGGTAAAAGGATATGAAAGTCCTGGTTTAAAAAAAACCTCCATTTTTCTGTAACAGAGAATACATAGAACATATGATGGTGGGTATGTAGTAAATACTTACTGGCACTTACTTGGGATAGCTTACTTAATTCACTCGAGTAATAGCTCAGAATCATGCCGATCACATAGGGCACTCTGTGCAAAAAGAACTGAAACAGAGGAGACTCAGAAATGAGGTTCTGGATTCTTACTGTGCCACTTTTCCTATTTAATATCCATCACAAGAGGAAGACTCTCTAAAATGGTGGGTAGGTAATGACTATGGTAGGGTTGTTTAACACTACCATAGTCATTACCTACCCACCATTCTCGAGCCAATGTCATGAAGTCTTATGACCCCAAGCAGACAGGACCTCTGCCTTACATACACTCTGCAAGATTGCAGCTGTACAGTGCCCTCAAACACTCCTGGGGCATTAGATTGTTACTGACCCAGATCATTTTGTGCTAGTTCCTGAATCATTATTACTACTTCTACAGGAGTACTTCTGGGCTCCCAAAACTTGACCTGCACCAGTTTCTGAGATGGCAACAGAAACTTACATGCTTGTGGTAAGCAATATGGTGCCATGTATCCTAGCAGGCTGGGAAAATATAATGCAACAATTTTTTTAATTGCTTTGGGGACGGAAGTCTGTAAAACAGTAGCCTTGAAATCTTTTTGACCAGTTTTGTAGTCTATCCATGGATAAATTTGACAATCAAATTTAGTAAAAGTTTTCTATACTGAATACAAACTTTATAAAAATATTTAGTCAAAACTAGCTTGTGTTGCTCATTTAAATGTTTCCCAGACTTGTTCTCTAGAAAGTCTGTGCCTCCCAGCCTTGTGACTGGTAACTTCACAATCTTTCTCTCTATAGCCATGGTCACCATCACCCACATGTGATCGAGTAAGGTTCCTGAGTTCTGAAAATGAACCAGACAACGCAGAGTTCTGATCTGTAGTTAAGTGAAATCTGCAGTAAGGACAAACTCCAAAAGGCAGCTACTTTCCTGATTTTTTTTTTTTTTTTTAAAGGCAAATCTCGAGTTCAGTGGTTCTTAACCAGAGGTCCGGGTCCCCTAGGGGGCCTCAAGCAGGTTTCAGGGGGGGTTCCAAGCAGAGCCAGCATTAGACTTGCTGGGGCCCAGGGCAGAAAGCCACAGCCCCACTGCATGGGGCTGAAGCCTGGGTCCCTGAGCTCTGCCACTCAGGGCTGAAGCTGAAGCTTGAGCAATGTAGCTTCGTGAGGGGGTCCTGTGACATGGGGCCCTGAGCAGTTGCCCTGCTCGCTACCCCCTAACACCGGCCCTGGCTTTTAGAGGCAGAAAACCAGTGACTGTAGCACAGGTGGGAGTTTTTATAGCATGTTGTGGGGCCTCAGAAAGAAAAAGGTTGAGAACCCCCCGCTCTAGTTAAGGATTTGGCTCTAGAAGGAAACAAGTTTTTGCTGGTCCCTTGGGTGTTCCCTTATCTAAAAGATTAGAGGTATTTGGCTTATTAATACCGCCCATTGAAAAATCAGCTCTGGCGAACAGTGCTACTTAGTTGCAAATACTGTGTATTATGAAGACACGTTTAGGGTAGTTCTGGCATACGAACAACCAGTTTCAATGTACTAAGTACTGTATTTACGCTGGAATAGCTTTACCACTGTCACATTTTTTTAACTCCATTGGTGGGGGGAAAAATAATTTTTTTTTTAAAGGTGCAATATTGGGTTAGTGAAGTTATTGGCTTTCATGTGCTGTTTAAAAGTGAGCTAGTTTGCATGGTGTGACATGAGAGAGGAAATTTAAGGGCACTATTCAGCCGAAATTCTGTGCCTCCCACCACACCCTGTATTCTGAATGCACAGTTGACTCAACTGAGAAACAGGCCCACCAGCTTTGAGGCCAAAAAGGGAGGGGAGAAATAATTCCCTACCAGGCAGTTGTGGGGCCGTGTGGGGATGAAGAGCTTATGTGATTGAGCATCTTGCTTAATTATAGTTGCATTGCTACTCTCTGTCTCGGGTCTGAGCATTTCCACTGCTCCAGCTTTCTGAATGACGGCAACTGTGAGCTTGCAGTAACTCCCCATACAGGTTCATCGGGGCGTGACAAAGTTTGTTGGAGTGAGAACTCTCCCACCTCTGTAGGTTTTTTGGTCTGTGATGTGGAGCAGGGGGAGGAAGAAACCAGTTGCTTCTCCTAGACAAGCTCTGTTTTTTGAGGTGTCCGTCCAAGGTTTGTCGTCGTGCTCTCTCTAAAATTTCTTCTTGGGCTGATAAAGCTTCCTGTGTTAGAATATGGTGTCCTGCTGTCATCCCAAGAGTAATTACTACTGCTGCTGAGTTGGGTGGAGTGTGTGTGTCTCTACAGAAGGGAACAGGTTTGGGCAGGCACATACCAACATCACTGATGTATAATGCCAGTTTCTTGGTGGGGAGGGCAGGTACTTTGGGTTGTGTGTGTGGCTGCCTAAGCCTAGTAGAATGGCCCAGCTGCTACAGAAGTGATGGGAGGCTGGATAGAGTCCTGAAAGTTCTCATCTATAGTGGTCGTCATTCTTAGTTCTCATTAAGTTTATTACATTTCTTTATAGTGTGGGAAAAAATCTATTCTTAGCCTCAAACTTTTCAACTTGGAGCTCTGTTAACCACCACTTGAATTCTATTCTGAATTCTCCATTCCCAAGAGCAGTATCACTTTAACTGCAAACAGAGGGGATCAAAGGACTCTCTCAGAAGTGAGAGGTAACAACTGTCATTCCCCTCCCCCCCCCGCATACACCCCCATATAGCCACCAGCAGCCCAACCACCTTAACATTGCTCAAAAGCAGAACTGTACAAAAATCAGTCATTTAGAAACTAGAATCCCACATTATATTCCTCCAGGGGTTTCAGACAGGTAACTAGAATGACCAGGCATTCAAGACCTAACGTAAAGAAGAGTAGCTAGTAAACCTAAGCAACTCATCCCAGATTCCACTTTGCTGCTGCAACAATGGTGGTAGATTTTTAATTGTGTTTTTGTCTCTCCCTACTTGCCTCATTAAATTAACAGGTTGAGAAGAGGCAACCGTTCCTGAACCTCCCTGGCAGGAGGGATTTTGAAATTTGAGCAGGTACTTTTTTTGGAGTCGGTTGAATGAGAAATTTGGGATTTATTCCTACAAACAGAGCCTGTTCACATTGTAAAAACTAATTTGCTTGGATTCAGTATTACTTCAGGGTTTCTGTTTCTAGTGGAGTTTTAGAATTCTGTGTGTGTAAATTTCTGTTCTGGCTAGTGTATCTTATTCAGACAGAGCTAACTGATTAATTCTGTTGCATACTGACTCCAAATTCTCTATTTTTTGTCAGAAAAGCCTTTCCAAGATAATTTTCAACAGATTGGCTTTCAAACATGGTAACATTCTATACTTAAACTGGAGACTACAGGGCTTAATAAAAATGCAGCTGTGGATTATGTGTACTGGATTTTTTTTTACATTGCTATTACAGACTGTAATATTAGAATCAAAATAATTAGTCGAAGTGGAAAATATTCGTTTATAACTTGCACTTGATTAAATGTAAAACAGTTTATCTTAATTTAGTAGTGTGTAGGAGATACTGTATCTTTTTTAATCAACTTGAGTGGAAAATCCATGTTTACAAGTGTACTCCTGGTTCCTACCAATTGATGGTAGCCAATTTAAAAACAAAACTGGAGGTTAAAACATACTGCAATCCGCTACCTTGGAATAGTGGTCTCACTCCTGCAGCCACTGACGGCACTGAGAGCCTTGTTAGGGACTCAAACAGGAGCAAGATTGGATTCTAAGTCTTTGTTTTACATGCTTAAGACAGAAAGGCGACTTGCCTTGTGCGCTGTTTTGTGCTCCTGTGTGTCATATATAATTTAGAAATACACCAATCAGTTTGTAATACTAGCACCTCTATGGAGATTGCAGTTTGTTTGGGTTTTTTTCCATGGAGGGTTAGACATTTTGGAATGTATAACATTCATCCCTGTGCTAGAATTGTTTACAGGCAAAGAGATTACTTGTTTGATTTTTGCAATCTGCAATGTGCAATTTTGTACATGCATTTTAAACTAAAAGAAGAGTTTATAAGGAAGATACGGTCTGTACAGGACTTGGCCATGAGTATTATTTCTTTTATATAAATATCTGAAAAAATAAAATTTCTTTATATTTATCTTTGTGGTGTTGTTTTGAAAATTCAGAAACTTAAACAAGTTAAATTGTTCAATGAAACACGTTTGGCATTGCCTACATAGTCTGTATTCCTAACACAAAAGCCTAGCTTGATCTCTTGTAGTAAATAGGTTGCACTCCTGCTTCATACTTGCTAGTTGTTCCTTCTTCCAGTGCTAGCCACTTACTTTGTTCTTCGTCTCTTAGCATTCTAAGTTAGGTATGGTCGGGAAAAGTCACGTGTAAAAACGTTGTGGAATTCTGTCTCTCTCTGAATAACTTTCCACTGACCACTCGATTGACAACTCAAAATGTTAGTCTTCTGAAAAAGCTCCAGCCCTTATTTAACTTGATTGTTCTGTCTCTTAGCACTAGCTTGGAATATGAACAAGTATAGTGAATCCGTCTCAGACTAGGGCTGACAATAGCTTACTGGAATCCCGCTTACTGTTAAGGTTTGTATTGTCTCAGAGCTAACTAGTAAAAACTTGTTTTGTCACAGACTAGTCTGACTTGAAGATGACCATGGAGCAGATCTGTTGAATAAAGCATGTTTTGTTTTTTTTTCTCCATAGTCACTACATTAACTACATTTTAATACTGGGTGGGATGTAATAGTTTAGAAGTGTCCCACTGCACAGCACATTTGCCAACTAGGAGAGCTGAGCACAACCATTTTCCCACCCTCCAAAAATCCGAGATTTCAGAAAAATTCCCGTTGTGCATTGAGGTGAAAGAGATTCAGACCACCCCACCCTGGGATTGCTAATAACCCGGGGGTTAGAGCTCTCGCCTGGGATGTGGGGAACCTTTGTTCAAGTCCCTGCTCTGGCTTATTTGAAAGAGGGCCTTGAAGCTAAAGTTTCCCATTCCCAGAAGGGGCCCTACCCACCAGGCTTGACTAATTCAGGGGGATTTTTATCTCTGATTTTGACCAGAAATTCCACCTTGGACCAGAAAACTTCCTATGAAAAGTTTATTTCATTTCAGCTAATCTGCATTTTCTGATAAAACAGTTTTTTGAAAAATTCCCAGCCAGCTCTGCCCAGTAGTGACCGGATATGGCACAACTGACCGGCGTCGCTCAGCCATTGCTTCAGTTGTTTGGGTACTAGTTGTAAGCACTTAGAGAGAGCCCAGTGCTTGTGCTCTAGAAGAAAGCTGTTCAATTAAGACAGACAGAAGTCCCACTTGGAGAACAACTTTCGTAACCAACCCCACCCTACTGCCAGGCTCCCCCCGGAATTAAGATGGTAGGAGAATAATAAAATGTCAAAGCAGATAAGAATGCTGATAACATGCCTTTAAGGCAAAGATAGATGCCTCACATATTGGGTCTTCAGGTCCCTGGAGGATTCCCAACGCACATTCACACGTGTGTGTAACTGAACATGGATCTTCAGTAGGTCTGTAGAGAAAGTGTAAATACTCTCCACACACTGATTTCTCGTGTGTATGAACTTTAAGAACTATTCAGTGTCAAAGTTGCAAAGTCAAGCACTCTAAAGTTAGAAAATGCCACAATTAAGGTTTAGTGCAACCTTAATGCAGCCCTCTTGTGCATCTGTATTTTGATAGTCTTTCATTACATGATCAAATATTTTCCCCCCTACAGGACCCTCTGCACTGGGCAACCTTAATTGTGGGATCTCCTAAATTGAGTGCTTGACTTTGCAATCTTCAGTTCATTTAAAAGAGGTGTTGTAAAACAAAATGAAGGATTCCATCAGAGAGAATCATATTGATCCCCTAAGGTGGGTGAGCAGGGTTCAGACCTTTAGATCTACAGCACGCGTGTTTTCCACCTAAGATTGCTACCAGTTACGCAGTTATCTTCTCTGTGAACCTGCCACGATGGCGGGCAGAAAGAGCTTTAAAACCCACTGGCAAAGTATATTAGTTGACAGCAGAGGAATGTAGACACAGTACTCCCAGCTTAAATTCTAGGCTCTGGAGGGAAGTGGTTAGTCCCCTGCCCCTAGCCTGTTTATTCCCACCCCCACCCCCCTTCCCTTTCCCTTCTGCTGCCCCTCACCCTCAGGTAGCTGCAGTCCCCCTCTTTCCCTTCCTCCTCCCAAACACACACCCCTCCCTGCTTTGCATTCCAGTGTGGCTGCTGCTTCCTTACTGCCTGGACACCAGCAGACAGCCTCCCTGCTCTCAGGTTTGCCCAGCACCAAGCACGCCCTAGGTTTGCCCAGCACCATGGCCAGGAGCAATAATTGCATTGAAAACCCTTCTCAGTCCAGTGATGGAGCATGCTCAGCATCTATGGAGTCTCTAGAGAATTTAGCTTCAGAACAAGTCTGTTGAACATGTGTGGATTGAGGGGTGGGGTGTTTTTTGGTTTTTTTTTTGGAAGCTTATAACTTAGTCAAATTTGGGCAAGTTTTCACAGGGATGCCAAAAAGCACATCCCTAACACCAGACGTTCCTGCTCTAAAGCATGGGGGCCCCAGAGCTACTCAACTAAGAAGTTATAAGAATTAACGGGAAAAATATTTCCCTAATCTTGTTTCTAAAAACAGCTCTACGATTTTAGCTACAACTTTATCCAGAAATTCAGCCTGAAGGAGGCAACTGCCATGGGAAATTTCTGCCCAAATGGTTAAAGTTTTGCAAAGTTATAAGCAACTGAAAGCAGAGTCTAATTCAAAATGTTGGGCAACCTTACCTATAGGTGTTGCTACCAGTTCCACCTATAATGGGTGAGTGTACATATAGCTGTACTGTACAGTTATCATTAAAGGTTATTAGAAGGCATTTAGTTGAGAAAGGTAATTATCTTCTGGGCAAACTAAGATTTATCATCTACATATGCCTCTTCAGATCTGTCCCATTCTCTCTGCCAACTCCCATTAACAATAGCCTTATGTTTACTTTTGAGGGTTGGCTACCTGTCCCAACAGATGTCAAATGGGTCTTGTTGCGCTCCTGCAGAATCTCTTCCATGCCCAAGGCTCATGTCAGTAGTCACACAGGTTCCTCATCGGATATCTTGCTGGAAGGGTGACAGCCCACATGTTCTTCTTGGCCTAATCCCTACCAGTTCACATCATGGTGGTTGGTTCACCTCTCATTCCCGTCCTGAACTAGAGATTGGTTCCTAAAGAACAGACATTTCCCCAGCTGCAGCCTCTTTAAAAATGCCTCTCTTCCCCTCCCCATGAGTCAATCACATATTACCAAGCTGAGCCTTCTCCCTTACCTGTGCTCCTGGTTGATTCCCAATTTCTGGGCCACTACTTTGAGAAATACAAATGGGTGCTAGCACCCAGTACTAAAACAGGGTGGACAGCTCTTGTCTGAGAGTAGCATTTCACTAAGTTACAACATCAGGCTAGTCTAGTGCTTAGCTTGCTTAGGTACATTTCATGGAGCTGTTGCTTTCACTGCAGGTAGGGAAGAGAGGATGGTGAAAAGAATCCCCCCTGACCCCCAGCAGATTGATACTATTCCCACTATGTGAACTGATCTGTCTTCTACTCAGGGAGTGTTGGGTGACAGTCTTCTCACAGGTTAGCTGGGGAGGAGGTGGCCATTGGGGAATGGTGCTCCAGGTCTGGCAATAGGTCAATTAGCAGGAGATAAACTGAACAGATTAGTTCCCAACTTGAGGATGTTTTATAAAGCCTGTTCTAAAAAGCATGTATCTGTGTTCTGGCTTGGTTTAGTTACCTTCCCGCCAGTATCTATTTGGGAGAGAAAAGACACCTTGAAACTAAACTGCAAGCCATATCTATGTATGTTTGTTTTTTAAAAAAGTTTCTCTGTACCACAAGGTGGTATCCATGCTGAAGCTGTAATGGTGTTCTTCGTGCTACACACACATCAGGTGGGGAAGTACACATAAGCCTCAGCAAGAAATCAGAGCCACCTGAGACAAACTGCTGAAATTCCTATTTTTTCCCTCAAAGTTAGCAAATCTTCAATTTCAGTCCCAGTGGGACCCTGGCAAAGACCAGACTTTTTTCTGTTAATGGATTGCCACTCTAAATTCAGGGAAGTGTCAGCCCTACGTGTGGGGATTACCCTATATCAAATCTGGCCAGTCCTGATTAGTACCAGACTCCAGTTCACAAGCATCACATTTCAGTGCTTGAGACCCACCCTGCTGAGCATGCCACCCCCTTGTCAAAAACCAGAGGGACTGAACAGAACATTTACAGAAAACAGGACTATCCAGTTATAATAGTTAACAACAGTTCTGGAAGGGATATAAAAGCTTCAGGGCTCAGCCATTCTAATGATCAGAGAGCAGGATGAAACCATGGTAGATTATCCCACAGCTGGCTGCTGTCAGAGACTGCACACTGGGCTACACGGACCACTGGTTTGATCTGCTCTGGCAGTTTTAATCGCCACAGCACAACGTGATTATGAGGGCTACAAAGAGTGAAAAATCTCTTAACGCTAAGCATGGCACTGGACAGCCATACCTTGCTGAGTTTGATCTTTAGAAAAAAGCTGCTCTCAGTTTCTGTAGCACTTGTATCCAAAGTATACAAAATGCTAATTGGTAGAAGATTTTACTTCCTGCATAACTGTATTTTACTCAAGCTTAAGCAAATAGCAGGGTTACAAATAGAACTGAGAGTAAAATGAAATCCTACTTCTTGCAACCCGCAAAGCACTGGCTGTTGCAACAAGCCCCCATTGGACTGGGTGAGGATGGCTGAGAGCACTAGTGTCATTGCACCCCAAAAGCTGGGGTGGGGGGAAGGGGCTAGTTCCACACACCAGCTCTGCCTCCCGCCCCCCTCCACTCCTCTTCCCCCACCTCCCCCGGGCCTCTAGTAACACCTCGCCCTACACTTAAGCCACACATGTTGATAAAAAGATACAAACCCAATAATGTGTATTTCACTGTAACACAATTTTAAATATTACCTTGCTGTCTCCCTTGGGTTGTTTCTCCCCGCTTCTCTCCCCCCTCCGTTTATTCTGTTTTTTCTTTCCTTCACTCCCTCCCACTCCCTCCTGCTGCGATCAGCCACTCAC